TGTTATTGCCTCTGAGATCCTTTTTCAAGGAAATAAGATGTGAACTTAGATCAGATGTCAACTTATCAAACTGTGTCACCGCCTGAGATCGGTTTGATAAGTGCAGCAGCAAGTTTATGCAGTCGCTGTTGCATAAAAGTGTTTGTATAAGGACGAGAACAATCCTGCCTCATGACACATTATTCAAGAGTTTTGTAATGGTGAGATGTGAAATGACGCCTATAATGTTAGTTCTGCTGATAATAATATGAAATTCACAGAGCTGGTTTATTGTTATTGTCACTAAAGTGCTGTTGTTTTTACACTGTGTCCGTCTGCTGCAAGTAAATGACTGAATATAAGAGTTTTGCTCAATCCAGCAGCAAACAGAGGTTAATATCTATAAAATATACATACATGTTTCTGTGTAACTGACATTACTAGGTAGCTTTTTGCATTTGCATTTGCTGTTATCCTGAAACTGCAACTTCCAGCCACAGTGGGACGGATACAGGAACGTTTCCAAGCCACTGAATACCCCTTAGATTACAGTTCAATTCAGAAATCAAAGGAATATGTCATAAATCTACCTGGTGAAGGCCGTCCTTAAAAGAGTGAGTGACCGAACAAGAAAGAGACTAATGAGGGAGGCCACCAAGACACCTATGAGTCCTGTGAGGGAGCTACAGGCTTCAGCAGCTGAGATGGGACAGACTGTGCAAGTGCTCTTCACCAGTCAAAGCTTATATAAGTAGGACCCAAGTATATTAAATACCTTAAGTATATATAAGCTATACTGACATTACAGAGTTACTTTTCGACCTCATAATTTTTTTTTTTTAGCATTTGTTGGCTACCAACCAATGTGGAATGATTACAACATAATTTCCAAGCCACTGAATATCCCTGAGATTACAGTTAAATCCATTATTCAGAAATGGAAGGAATATGGCCCAGCAGGACGTTCTCAAAAAGTGAGTGACTCTGCAAGAAAGAGGTTAGTGATGAAGGCCACCAAGACACCAATGACTCCTGTGAAGGAGTTACAGGCTTCAGCAGCTGAGATGAGACAGACTGTGCATACAGCAACTGTTCTTCAAGTATATAGTATATATAAAGTATCCCATAAGTATTTATAAGCTACACAGACATGATGGAGTCACTTTTCAATCTCTTGCTGTTGTCTTGTAACTGCGGCTACCAACCACAGTGGAATGATTACAACAGAATTTCCAAGTCACTGAATATCTCTAAGAAAACACTTAAATCCACAACTCAGAAATTAAAGTGTGTGAATCTGCCTCGAGCAGGACGTCGTCAAAAACTGAGTGAGTGAACAAGAAACTAGTGATGAAGGTCACCAAGACACCGATGACAGTATAACAACAACAACACCTACAACAATTTCAATAAAGTTTTATTCTATTCTATTCTATTCTATTCTATTCTATTCTATGACTCCTCTGAAGGTTCTGAAGGAGTTACAGGTTTGAGCTGCTGACATGGGTCGACTGTGCATACAGCAAGTGTTCTTCAAGTACAGTGCTGCCTGTTTATTATCATACTCTCGCTCCAGGATGGAATTATGACTACATCCTGGATATTCCAATAAGCGGGCTTTAATCACAACGATAGAGCACTGAGAAAATTGTGACTGTGATGAAAAATAGGGGGCTGCAAGGCGGGTCGGTGGTTAGCACTGTTGCTTCGCAGCAAGAAGGTCGCCGGTTCGCGTCCCGGTGAGGACACCTGGGATCTTTCTGTGTGGAGTCTCCATGTTCTCCCCTTGCAGCGTGGGTTCTCTCTGGGTTCTTCCTCCCACACAGTCCAAAAACATGTTGAGGTTAATTGGTGATTCTAAATTGTCTGTAGGTGTGAATGTGAGTGTGCTTGGTTGTCTNTCTTTTTTAAATAACAATTAAAATGGACTTGAACTGTGTGACTGACACAGGAAGATTTTCAGTAACACTTTTTCCAGTTTAGTCAAGGAACAACACTTGATGTGTTCCTCCTGTTCAAAAATTTTATATAAGATTATTTTTTCTTTTAAGGATCTAGACAAACTATACAAAAATCTATGGCATAATGATGCAGTCTGTGTATAATGCA